TAATTTTGTTTTAACAAGAATCCGTACACCGCTATGTAATTACAGTCATTATATATGACCGTAACGAAACACGTCGTGAATTGTTCGGATGGAAATCGAAAAAAGTTGTCACTGGTGCGATATGTATTGTTCTTTAAGTTCAGTTTTTAGACTATGATATAGAAACGCTGTTTTAAATAATTGTAAAAATATAAAATAATGATTTATAATCTTAGGTAAAATAGCGAGAATACTCGGTAAAACTTAGGTTCAGAACAGGGATGACAACTTTTCAGTACCTCAATAATATGTGACTTGTTCAATATATCTAATGATATGTTCAATAATAAATAAATCCCAAAAATAACACAAAATTCTAAGACCAAGTCAACGACGAAATTTATAAATTTTATGGTAATAAAAAATATTTCTTTTTAAGCCTTCTGACTATTTTTTCAAGTATATTTTAAACTTGACTCTACTTACTTAGCGAAGCGTGCAAAACAAGACACTTCGTGCAAATCAAGAAGTCTTCTAGTTGTTATACAGCGACATTCAGAAAACAATTTATTTATAAAAAACGATGAAAGCTAAAAGGAAAGTAACATTCAAAATAAAACAATGCGTTCTTATATTGATTAAAACTAACAATATAGAAATAAGTACAGTAATTTATTGTATTTATATATAAAATTAACACTTTTGTAAAAAATTGTTTTTTGTAACATTAAATCGTACTTACTGTCACAGACTATGATGACTTTCAGTATACACATTTTAGCGTTCTGAATTTTATACTTAAGTAGCTATTTATTACTAAGTTTTATGGCACTGTTATATTGACTCTTCCAAGTAACTATAAATACATCTATAACTAAATACAATAGGATATAAAAATTGAACAACCTACATAAATGCAACATTTCATCTTAAAAATAGAGAGCGTAGTTCACATTATATACATTTCATCAATAAGTTTTCATTTAGAAAACAAATCCTGGTTGCGCATAAGAATATCCTGATTGACCAGGTGCTGGTGGTAAATATGGAGCTCCTGGTGTTGATGGTCGCCTAGTTGTTGGTGGCGGTCTAGTTACAGGGCGCTGAGTCGTAACTGGTGGCAAGTATTCAGGTGCCTTAGTAGTTGGTGGTGGTGGTGGCCTTGTTACTGGCTTCTGAGTTGTTCTTGGCTGCGGAGGCAAATAAGTGGGTGGTGGTGGTGGCCGCGTCACCGGCTTTTGCGTAGTCCTCGGCTGTGGTGGCAAATAAGTTGGTGGTGGTGGTGGCCTTGTCACTGGTTTTTGCGTAGTGCTCGGCTGTGGTGGCAAATAAGTTGGTGGTGGTGGTGGCCGCGTCACCGGCTTTTGCGTTGTCCTCGGCTGTGGTGGCAAATAAGTTGGTGGTGGTGGTGGCCTTGTCACTGGTTTTTGCGTAGTCCTCGGCTGTGGCGGCAAATAAGTTGGTGGTGGTGGTGGCCTAGTTACTGGCTTTTGCGTTGTTTTTGGCTGAGGAGGCAAATAGGTTGGTGGTGGTGGTGGCCTAGTTACTGGCTTTTGCGTTGTTCTTGGCTGAGGTGGTGGCGGTGGTGGACGTGTTACTGGTTTTTGTGTCGTCCTTGGCTGTGGTGGTAAATATGTTGGACCTGGTGTTGTCCTAGTTACCGGTTTTTGCGTTGTTCTTGGCTGAGGAGGCAAATAAGTAGGTGGTGGTGGTGGCCTTGTCACCGGTTTTTGAGTTGTTTTAGGTTGAGGTGGCAGATATGTTGGTGGTGGTGGTGGCCTTGTCACTGGTTTTTGCGTTGTCCTTGGCTGAGGCGGCAAATAAGTAGGTGGCGGTGTTGCTCTAGTTACTGGTTTCTGCGTAGTTCTTGGCTGAGGTGGCAAATAAGTTGGAGGTGGCGGTGGCCTGGTTACTGGTTTTTGTGTTGTCTTTGGCTGAGGTGGTAAGTATGTTGGTGGTGGTGGTGGACGTGTTACTGGTTTTTGTGTAGTCCTTGGTTGTGGTGGCAAATAAGTAGGACCCGGTGTTGGTTTTGTTATTGGCTTTTGGGTTGTCGGCGGCGGAGGTGGCCTGGTCACTGGCTTCTGTGTAGTTCTCGGCTGTGGTGGTAAATAGGTCGGTGGCGGCGTTGGTCTCGTTACTGGCTTCTGAGTTGTTTTTGGTTGGGGCGGTAGATAAGTTGGCGGTGGCGGTGGCCTTGTTACAGGTTTTGGTGTTGTCCTCGGCTGCGGTGGTGGCGGTGGTCTTGTCACAGGTTTCTGTGTAGTTCTTGGCTGAGGCGGCAAGTAGTTGGACCAGGTGTAGGCCTAGGTACTGGTTTTTGCGTTGTCCTTGGCTGAGGAGGCAAATAAGTTGGCGGTGGCGGCGGTCTAGTTACCGGTTTTTTGAGTTGTCTTAGGCTGTGGTGGCAGATACGTTGGTGGTGGTGGTGGCCTTGTTACTGGCTTCTGCGTTGTTCTTGGCTGAGGTGGCAAATAAGTTGGAGGTGGCGGTGGTCTCGTAACTGGTTTTCTGTGTAGTCCTTGGTTGAGGCGGCAAATACGTTGGTGGTGGAGGAGGTCTTGTAACAGGCTTTTGCGTTGTCCTAGGCTGTGGCGGTAAATATGTTGGCCCTGGAGTAGGTCTAGTTACTGGTTTTTGCGTGGTTATTGGTTGTGGTGGAGGTGCTGGCCTTGTTACTGGTTTTTGAGTCGTCCTAGGCTGTGGCGGTAAATATGTGGGTGGCGGTGGTGGCCTTGTCACTGGCTTTTGTGTAGTTCTTGGTTGAGGAGGCAAATAAGTAGGCCCCGGCGTTGGTCTTGTTACTGGTTTTTGCGTTGTTCTTGGTTGAGGTGGTGGTGGCGGCCTCGTCACTGGTCTTTGTGTTGTTTTTGGCGGCAAATATGTAGGAGCACTCGTGGTTGGCGGTGGCGGTGGCCTTGTTGTTTTTTGGCTGTGGCGGTAAGTACGTTGGTGGTGGTGGCGGCCTGGTTACAGGACGCTGAGTTGTGGCTGGCGGTAAATATACTGGTTTGCTCGTAGTTGGAGGTGGCGGCGGTCTAGTAACAGGTCTGGATGTTGTCCTCAGATCTACAATAACCGGAACTGAAGGCTTCTGAACAACCGGTGGTAAATAAGGTTTTGGTGGAGAAGGAGGTGGATTGGGCTTAGGTGGTGAATAAGGTTTGTAGGGTGTTTGTGTTTGTGGTTTTTGTGTAGTCCTTACCTCAAATGGTATACTTGGCTTCGGATACGAGTATCCGCCTGATGGTGCCGCTGGTGGAATATAAGGCTTTGGTGGTGGTGGTGGTGGCACATATGGTCTCTGAGTTTGAGGCCTTTGTGTCGTCCTTACTTCCGGAAATGGAATTGCAGGTTTCGGATAATTGTATCCATCAGGTTTTGGTGCAGGTGCAGGTGGTATATATGGTTTTGGTGGTGGAGGTGGAGGTACATATGGTCTCGGAGTTGGTGGTGGTGGTGGCGGCCTAGTTTGTGGGCGCTGAGTTGTTCTTACTTCTGGTACTGGAAATGGAACTACTGGTTTTGGATATGAATATCCTGGTTGCGGTGCCGGTGCTGGTGGTATATATGGTTTTGGTGGTGGTGGTGGCGGTCTGGTTACTGGCCTCTGTGTCGTTCTTACTTCCGGAATTGGAAATGGAACTACTGGTTTTGGATAAGAATAACCATCAGGTTTTGGTGCTGGTGCTGGTGGAATGTATGGCTTTGGTGGTGGTGGCGGTGGCACGTATGGCTTTGGCGTTGGCGGCGGCGGTGGTGGTCTTGTCACAGGTCTTTGTGTTGTTCTTACTTCAGGTACAGGGAATGGAACAACGGGTTTTGGATATGAATAACCGTCGGGCTTTGGTGCAGGTGCAGGTGGAATATAAGGTTTAGGTGGTGGTGGTGGTGGAACATAGGGTTTTGGCGTTGGTGGTGGTGGTGGTGGCCTTGTTACTGGCCTCTGGGTTGTTCTTACTTCAGGAACTGGAAATGGAACAACGGGTTTTGGATAAGAATAACCATCAGGCTTTGGTGCTGGTGGAATGTACGGTTTTGGCGGTGGCGGTGGTGGCGGTGGTCTGGTCACTGGTCTCTGAGTTGTTCTTACTTCTGGTACTGGAAATGGAACTACTGGTTTTGGATATGAATATCCTGGTTGCGGTGCCGGTGCTGGTGGTATATATGGTTTTGGTGGTGGTGGTGGCGGCCTTGTCACTGGTCGTTGTGTGGTTCTTACTTCAGGAACTGGAAACGGTACAACTGGTTTTGGGTATGAATAACCATCAGGTTTTGGTGCTGGTGCTGGTGGAATATACGGCTTTGGTGGTGGAGGTGGTGGCACGTATGGTCTTGGTGTTGGCGGCGGTGGTGGTGGCCTCGTTACTGGTCTTTGTGTTGTCCTCACTTCTGGTACTGGAAATGGTACAACAGGTTTTGGATACGAATAACCATCAGGTTTCGGTGCTGGTGCTGGTGGAATATATGGCTTTGGTGGTGGAGGTGGTGGCACGTATGGTCTTGGTGTTGGCGGCGGTGGTGGAGGCCTTGTGACTGGTCTCTGCGTTGTTCTAACTTCAGGTACTGGGAATGGTACAACTGGTTTTGGATAAGAATAACCATCAGGTTTTGGTGCTGGTGCTGGAGGAATGTATGGCCTTGGTGGAGGCGGCGGAGGCCTTGTAACTGGTCTTTGTGTTGTTCTTACTTCTGGAACAGGGAAGGGAACAACTGGTTTTGGATATGAGTATCCACCTGATGGTGGTGCTGGTGGAATATATGGCTTAGGTGGTGATGGAGGAGGCACATATGGCCTAGGTGTCGGAGGTGGTGGTGGTGGTCTAGTTTGTGGTTGCTGTCTTACCTCAACAAATGGGACACTTGGTTTGGGGTAAGAGTATCCAGGAGATTTAGGAGCAGGTGCTGGGAAAGGAATAGATGGTTTAGGATACGAATATCCATCGAAACCTGCATTATTTCCATATGATACTAGAGATATATCACGTACAACTCGGTTCTTCACATCGAACTCAGCAAATGAGCTGGAGACCGCGAGAAGTACTAGCAGACAAATGGTGGACTTCTATAAGTAAAATCCAATAAAATTCGTTAGGTTTTCGTATATTGTTAATCTAAATTTAATATATATTCTTTACATTCAAATTAAGTAAGAATGAAAAAAAGAATGAAATCTGTAAGGTTAAAAATATATAGTGTATATAATTTATGTTTATTTTGATTAGTTGATTTTGCTTTATAGACAGTTCGCTTTAATGCTAATATTTAAATTCAAAACTTGAAATTAAAAGTGATATTTTTAAAAAATCAACTATATTTGAAAAAACTAAAATAGCTCAAAAACATTTATTAACAAAATAAAATATGCTCCTAGGGATTCACATAAATACCATTATTTAAATAGAAATCTTTATTGAAATTAAATGTAATATTATTAAAAAATAAACTAGATATAAAATAACTTAGAAACAAACATAAAGCAAATTTAAGTTTTGGGAAACATAGTACTATAAGATAAAAATAAATGTTTAGAATGTAATTTTATTACATTTAATTAAAAACGTATTAATCTGTTTAACAGTGATACCATTCTAAAGCATAATAAAATCTGATCTCATTATAAAGAATACTAATTATTTAAAATTTATTATTTCATTGTTTTAATTTCTGTACACGGTTCTCCAAGTGATAAATCTATCACTCTAAATAAGTTTATGCAAACAAGGTCGTCCATTAATTTTTTTCGCTCATTTCGTGAATTCGTATCACATAATAAAAAATGTTTGTTTGTTAGCGAGGCGTTTTATGGACAACAGGAGCATCTATTATATCATCTCACGTGCATAAATTTTAGGTTTTGGCCCGGGGGTACCATCGACTTTTGGCCGTGTCGCGGCCGCCCACATATCATAAACGCGTGTCTTCGTTTGATTCACGGATGCTTTTCAAGGACGACACCTCGGACGTTTTGTGAAAGGTTTGGAATTGATCTATTCGCTACTGGTGGAATGGTAATAGAAATATTTTGAAATGAAATTTCTTAGGATTATTTTTTGCGAGTTTGCGGAATTGATGTGTTAGATACGGTCGACGTACTTTAAAATAAAGAACACGTGAGAGAAAAATAATATTAATATATACACCTTAAATATTTTTTACAGATGCAAATTACTTATATTTAGTCATCATTTATTATACCAAAGATTTGTTAATTTCTGTTGCTAAATAATGAAGAATCTTATATGACTCCAAATACAATGTTTGCAGGAAAATAATATATACGACATGTGTCACGATTTATTGCAATATTTTATTCAAAAATATATTTATATATTGTACGTAGAATAGAAATATGGGTATTAGGTTGGTCCTTAATATAGATTTTTTAGAATTTTTTTGGATTCATTTGTCGCTAAGTTATAAATTTTCTAAAAAGCAAATGGAATCTTACCTATGATATTTCCATAAGAAATTTGGGTTGGAGTGCGGACTATCTTAAAGTTAATATTTAGAGCTAAAACTTTCAGAGATTTTTTTATTCTCAATTTAGAAGCATTTAAGCTCCTGGGAGCAAAGATATTCAAAAATATCCATGTTAGGGACCACCCTAATGGGCATGTAGTAATGTAGTAGTGTGAAGCTAACATAAATAATTTAATTAAAATTACTAGAGCAAAGTCTTAATATTCGACACCAGGATTGTGAGGACTCTTGAAGGATTGTGAGAGCTTTGAGAATATTACAAAATAATTGTTTCAAAGAAAATAATTTGTTGTAATTTATTCCTGCAATGGCAGACTAATATCATATATAAATGGAAGAGTGCAACATCCATTTATTTACGTTTTTAACTCAAGTTAAAAATATAAGTCATTGATGTCATGGATTCAGTAATAAGGGAATAATATTT